ATTGACACATCAAGAAACCTTGTCACCAAGATCTAAGTTACAGAAGTAAACTTTGATCTCCAAGATTTGTAATTCTTCAATAAAAAGGTATACACATATTACCCCTCTATAACCTTTTCCCCTTTCCAGGCACGTATATTATTGAACATGTGCCGTGACAAGCCTATGTAAATTCGGACGACTAAATTATTATTATATTTGTTCATTATTTTCGAAATACGTATAAAAAATAAAACATTATAAACAGCTTCAACATAATCACCTAATTGAATACACCCATCATCCTTGACACATCATGTTATCCATTGCATACAATTACAATCACCCCGATTGCCTCGTTAGATCTCACCGTCAATCAAGCTTGACATACACGAAAATCCCCATCAATCTATCACTAGAGTAAATACCATCGCCACCGGAGTTCCAGAGACCAATTTGTTTACAACAAGGAACAGATCTACGATTTCAAAATAGAAAACATCGCGTCCCTCATGGAACCATGCAGATACCCACGGGACCGATGCTGAAAGATCATTCATCAAAACGAAAGAGGAGGCGGAATCAAGGTTCTAATTAACACATACACGATCGAGACATTTACAGATCTACACAGATCGCGAAACACTGAAAAGAAAACTAAGATTTGGAGAAGACCGAGAGCATACCATCTTCACAAGTCGGGGAGGGCGATCCGAAACGTGACGCTGGATGGGGGAAAATTTGCAGCGGGAGACGGAGACGGCTACGCCTAGTCGTCTTTTGTCTCCACACCGGGATGGTTGAACCGTGGAGACGCGGCGCTCCTTCCGTCCGGGTCATATATATATAAACGCTGATTCTAGAAGCATCTACAGATCGGTTATAACAAATGACTAGTGGGCAAGAAATTATTTTTTATCGCCATATTCCTAAAATTAAATTTAGAAAGAGAAATACGAAACTAATATATAATGTTTATAAATATTTAAAAGGACCAAATGATACATATATACATATATACGTATGTAAAAAATTTAAATTTTATAGAAATATGTATATTAAACTAAAATTTATAAATATAAATATAATCATAATTAATTTTAAAGAGACGTATATATTATTTTACCATGTATATCAGACACCTCTGAGACATAAGATAAATAAATATACGATAATCGATGCATAGTCGGAAGCTCCTATCTTTTTTTTTTTTTTTTGAAGAAAATTGAAACTACGAATGAGACCATCGCTTAGCAATTCACATAACTGCTTTCTAAGTTCTACCAACTCTGTCAGGACAATGCGATAGAGTGGTCTCGTTGGAGGTTTCACTTCTGGCTCCAGCTTAATATTGTGATCCATGCCTCTGTGTGGCTCGGTCATAATTTTCAATTGAATTTTTGAGATTCAAATTTTTTTATCAAATTAGGTGACATTTTAATATAATTGTAGTAATTTACTCACCGAATATTAAAAAAAATTATCTAACATGACTACTATAACTAAGAAATCAAAACAACATGCGCATTATAAATATAATTTTCTCGTTAATTTATACCAAATTGAAAATTCCCGGGTGGAGGGCTGGACGGAAGGCGGGAAATATTTATGATTTGACTCTTGATTGATCTTGCTCTTCGGGGAAGGGAATCTGATGATGGACGATTGCTTTATGCCTTTTTGCAGAAATCTGATCCAGTTTTGGCCTCTAATTCTGCTCCTCCGAGTGCTTCTTCAATTGAGGGTTTTAAGGCGGGTGCTTCCTTAGTTCAGGGTTTCGCTGATCATGAAAGGCCTGGTTTGATTCCTTCTGATCCGAGTAGTTTTGATGCTAATTGCTCTTCTAAGAATCCTATTTTCTGCAATATTGTTCCTTCGCAGATTGGTGTTCTTGGATAAAAGAAAGATCCTAAATTTAGGGGTCTTCTTTGGTGATTTGGTAAAGCTTAATTCAGAAAACGGATTCAGGAGTCATAGTATGGGGCTCATTTTTTTTTTTAATTTAACAAGTACTTGTTAAAGTACTTTACTGAAAACGGCCAAACACTTTTTTACTGAAGCATGTACAGCAGCTAAAATTAGGTTTTCTTTTACAGTATTTGTTAAAGTACCTTGAAGTCAGCATGTCTTAATTCAGTTCAGATTTAAGATTCAACAAGGACACTGTTTATTAACAGATCATATGTGAATGGTTGACTTGTGGATGTTATTTCTGTAACTGTTTTGGGCATCAAGATAAAAATATTGTGGGAGAAGGCACAGATTCAGGACGGAATGAAAGATCAAAGGCACACAGAATTGGACATGTTCTGAGGCTGTCATTGGAAATGATGGTGCCGTTGCTGAGGATCTGATGAATAAGGCAATTGGCAAAGGCATGCAGAACAAAAATCTTTTGTGACTGTTACTGTGAATGGTAGGATTGCTTCTACAGAGTTAATGAGCAAGCTAGTTGGAAATGATGGCACTTGGTGCCGGAAAATATATTCTAGATTGTCTGATCCTAGTCTTCCAGCCTTGGATGAAGTTATTGAATATCATACTTTTGATCCTGGTGTTCATGAATCTTCTCAGCCTAATTACTCCACGTTTGTTTTTCAACTGAAAACTAATAGGCTACCTGAACTGAGTTTGACCTTTTGCTTCCTGAACTGAGTTTGACCTTTTGCTTCCTGAACTGTTGGATCTAGTACAATCAACAAAGCAAGAACCTGGGTAACATAGTCCATAATGAATGCCTTGAACTAAATGCCCATGTGACATTTATGATATTGCAACATGGTTTAAGTTGGTGATATTTATATAATTTGATTTTATCTGTTCTTAAAATTTTACTCCATTGTGTTGTCGTTAGCTTTGAGTAATGTGTTTCTGGTGACAATCTTCAAAGGGTAGAGCTTTCTGCTGTTTGTTTTTATACTCTTCCTTTTCTCCAAATAATTTTCAAGACGTAAAGATCTGGCAGGACTAACCTATTTTTCTGTTTTTTTTTCTTTTTTCATTCATAACCATATGCATATGAGGCTGGCTAGCTTCTAGTGAGGCCTGCATTTTTCGATTCATGCTTCGACCTTACTTGATCTATTTCATAGTACTTTGGTGGATGTTTGTCCTGCTTATTCCCTGATTTTAGTACACAATATAATCCTGAATTGTATGTGAATCCAATCCTTGTTAGCATCTGATATGTTTACGTTACGTGTGAAGTTAGTAGGAAAATACATCAATATCGGAGGACTGTTTTAATACAAAATACAATCAAATTAGGGCCAGCTTGAGTTCAGAGTTGACTAGTTTCTCAGAGTCTTTGTTGAGTCATAATTGAATCAATTTTGGTCTTAAAGTTGTTCTTCGGCCTATTATGGGTCTGGTTTGTTTTTGCCATTCACTGGTACCATTCACACTATGGTACTGCTACAGAAAGTGAATAGTAAATATGTTTTCGTACTTTTAGTCATAATTTGGAAATCAGTTGATAGCAAATTTGCTTATCTTCTACTTTTATTCATAGGCTGAGAATATGCTTGTCATAAATTGAACTGATTGTGGTCTTGAAGTTGTTCTTGGGTATTATAGCAGGTTTGTTTTAGCCATTCTCTGGCACCATTCACACGACAGTACTGCTACTCCAAGTGAATAATAATCGGTGTACCATATAGTGAATTCTGTGAATTTTTGTTAAAGGAAGATTTTGTCTGGCTGAGTAATTTTCTCTCGTGTTGTGCCTCCTCTGCTCCCCCCTTCTCTTTTGATGATTTCTCTTGTTGCTCAGATCCTCTTCTCTTTAATATCTGATTCCCAATTGACATATTGAAACCTGATTTGTTAGATTTGATTCCTGAGATTCTATTACATCTTTTTCCCTTGAATTACTCAGCCTTCTGGATATTCGGTTAACCTACTTCACATTTAACTTGCGTAAATATTCAACATTGTTGATCTTCCTATTTGTCAGCAATTTGTCTTTATATCATGATAATCTCTCTCTAACTGCATAGAGGAGCCGTTTCCTTGAAAATGCAAACCTTAGTAAAGCACTAAACTTGATGTTCGTGCTATTGTTGTTGTTTTATTCAGATCATGCCATGTTTTCTAGAGAATATTGGCTTGATTTCAATCCTCCAATATGGTGTTATGTTCTCCGAAGACAAATATATGAACAAGGCATACCATTAAGTCAGCTATCTTTTCTTGAGAAAGGTGAACCGTCATGCTACAAGATAGTTCCAGAAAGCATTTATCTAAAAATGAATTTGGTTCTAAAGACATTACATACTTCTCAAATGCACTCAGTGTTATATTTTTTTGTTAGATGTACATGAAATTAAGATAATATATTTCTCATTCAGTGTGACTCCTACCTGTGAGGCTTTTATTGTTATAAAATCAATTTATATGGTGTATTACTGTTGTGTGTGTGTGTGTGTGTGTGTGTGAGAGAGAGAGAGAGAGAGAGAGAGAGAGAGAGAGAGAGAGAGAGAGAGAGAG